GTTTTTTTTTTCCCTTAAACCCTCATTCTTGGTTTGACATTTGGGGTCGGGGGCAGGGAGGGGGGGTAGGCTGCCTTGTTGGGGTCTGGGCTATGGGTGGATGTTGGGCCTTGAGGGGAAATTGGGGGTGGGGCCGGTGCTCCGGTTCTCCCTGGGTTGTTTGGATCTTTTGATTAGGGTTCCTGGTTGCAGTGGCCGGCCATAAGGCTGGGGTGGCTGCCGGGTTCTGGCGGGGGGTCGGCTGTGGTTGTGTGCGTGTGGTCATTGGTGGTGCATGGCGGCGGTCAGGGGCGTGGCTTTGCTTTGACGGGGTGCTGGCTGGTCGGCCTGATGTGACATTCGCGGTGGGGGGTGCTGTGTGTGTGTGTGGGTGCATGGGTGGCGTGCCGGGGCCTCTCCGGGCCTGTGGTGTGGGCTGTAGGGGTGCCTGATCATTGGTGCGCTGGGCTGGCCTCCCTCAGCTGCTGCTCCCTGCTGCTCTGGCCCTCGGCCTTGGGCCGGCTTGCGGTCACTGTTGGGTGGGTGGGGCGCATGGACAGTCCAACAGAGGCTCTGTCGGGCTGTCTCTGTGTGCCTGTTTATGTCTCGGGTTGGGTTTTAGGTGGTCCCCTCTCTTGGATCAATTTTGTCCTCCCATTTAATGTGGGGTCAACTTCCCCCTGTCATGCTCCCCTCCGGTGGTGGGCCCCCCTGCCGCCGGTGCATTGGCGGCTCTCAGCAGCTGGGACTGGGTGGTGGGATGTGTGCGGGCCCGCCCTGGTGGCTGCCTGCCGGGGCCTGGGTGCCCTGGCTCTGTCGGGCCTCTGTTGGGGGGTGGTATGATCTCGGGACTCGGGGCTCGGTGTCCATGGCCGGATCCACTCTGGAGGGGCGGGTTGCCGGTGGGGCCTGTGAACTCGTCACTGCAGCCTCCTGGGGGTTTCTGCATTGTGGTTGCTGGGGATCGCCTGGGGCTTCCCTTTGTTTCTCTTTCTGGGAGGTGCGGGTGTCCCTGTTGGGGGACTCCTGGAGCTCCGGGCTTGGGGGCCTCTGTGTGTCTGTGGTTCCGGTCTTCCCTGTGTTATCATCATGTCCTGTGGGGATGGGTCTGTGGGTCCCCACATCCACTATTGAACATTTTTATGGAGAAACATTATAGTGACAACATGCTCACACAGGTGTTTAGATTCAGGTGTTTATCAGATACCCACTCAGTTGGGTTGTGGTGGCCACTAAATATATCTTGTATTACCATGTACTGTATAAAATACTTTCTAATGATGTTATATCATTATATATGTTGTTTGTTGTTGTGGTTTCTCGGTTTTGTCTCGTTTTTTTTTCTTTCCGCAGGTCTACAGTCAGACTTCAATGATGTTGATTTGTGTTCTCTTTATCTCTCTCTCTCTCCTCTATTCCTATCTCTTTCTTTACCTTTTAACCCTTCTCTCACTTTTCTGCTTTGTTATCTTCTTTGTTTTTCATCCCCATGTCCATTACATCTGAAACAAGCCCAAAGCATATTCTAATAAAATTTAATTTTTATATCAAGTGGAGCATTAAGGCCGGCCATAATGCTCTGCTTGTGAAATTAAATCTGTTGGGCTTCACTTTGACACTCAGACAATAATTTCTAAGTGTCACAATGCCGGACATGACAAGGGAAAAAAAAAACAACAACAAAAAAAAAAAAAAAACCTTGAGATCAGTGTTAGATTGAGCTAATGGTGTTAGCCTCCCTCCGTTTGGTGTTTTTTCTTTAACTGATGGCGGCAGCGTTTTCGCACCCTCTCCCAGTTTTAATTCTTTTTCATCCTGTATTCTGGACGTAGCTGACGGTGTCAGCCTCTTTGTTGATTCACTATTCTTTATTTTGATTGGTGACAGTAGCGTTCTCGCCCCCTCTCCCAATCTTAGCCTGTTTTCTCTGCCTGCGTTTGGACCCAGTTCAGTTCCGAACAGGGATGGCTCTGTTGCACCAAATGTGGGGCAACACTCCAGGCAGATGATGGTCATGACCTGTGCCTTGGGCATGATCACCTGGTGGAGGCTCTGTTGGAGAACTCCTACATGAACTGCAGTTACATGCCCCGTGCTGTGAGGGTGGCTCGGCTGGCCCAGTTGCACCCTGAGCTTGGAAATGACCTTCCGCCTTCAGGGCAGTTGGCCCCGCTTAGGCGCTCAAAGTGCCGGAATGAGGCCACAGTCTCTGTGGCTCCTTCTAAGAAGAGGCGAGTGAAATCTGATCAGGGCCTCTCCATAAGAGTTGAGCAGTTGTCTGCAGAATTGGTGGAAATAAAATCTCTATTTCAGGCACGCCAGCTGGATACTTCGGTGGCAGCGACTGGATTCTTTTCTCCACCCATGCCTGAGTTGGCTGTGGAGGAGGATATGTTGTCTTTGACTACCATGACCATACTATGTCATGACATTTACATCCATGACCAACATGATTCTGATCTTTGCCTCCTAAACAAAAGAAATGAAATGCTGCAGTGATAAGTCCAGTAAGAACCTTGAAAAACAGACCTTCAGGTTCTGTTGCAGCTCTGCTGGGGCTGTGCTGCGGAGCGCCAAGCCTCTCAGAGCTGTTGCTGTTGTTGTTGTTGACCTGGATGCCATTCTGCTTCATCAGCTGCATTAACTCAGATTCTAATGCTGCAATCTGCCAGAGAGGAACCAATCAGTGTTAATGAGCTGTAGACATTTACCTGTCAAAACTGCTTTAAAGCACCAAAATAAACGATGCAACGAAAAGATCATCACTCGAGTTTTTCGCTCGGTTGAAAATTCTTGCAGAGGCTGGCTGAGCTTGCACTCAAACACAAGTAGAGCTTCCATGGCTGTAATAAATCAGAGTAGCTGTCTGCATCAGCTGTCCAATTACACATCCTCCAAATGATTACACAATACGATGAGTTCTGATAAGAATAATTTTGCACAGGTTATCATGTTCACGAATGCAGCTTGGTAGAACCTGGGTTTTTCTAACATCTGAGAGGCAAAAAATGTGAACAGTCATGAGCAATGAGCTGTATAACAGTGTAAAGAAGTGTGATGTTACCCTGACTTGCAGTCCCTGGATTTCAGCCAGGTGAACTTTCTCAGCCTCCTCCAGCCGCCTCCTCTCTGCATCCTCCTTCTGGATGAACTCCACCTCTCTGGAGGAAAAAAAGGAGAAGGTGTGAATTTCAATGTGCTGAGGGTCTACATATTGATGCATTCACAGTTTCATGCTTATATTTGATTAATATATGATGTTTGTGAGAAACTTGTACATCAATTATCTCAGAGAAACAGACATCTTTTTATTGGTCTATGAACTCACTGCCTCTTCTCTGCAGCTCTGTCCTCAGCTATAGATACGCATGGAGGGTTTGTTTCATCAGTTTGTTTCCATTTGGCCGGCTGGGCCTGAACAAATTGAGTCCATCTGACTGGCGCTGCAAAGTAAGGGTTCTGATGGGACTGACTGAAGGAATTACCGTTAAAAAAAAGAAATGCTGAACTGCATTAGACTGCAAACTTGGCTATTATTGTGGAAATAAGATACAACTCAGAAACATTCAGTTTTCCATAACATGACTGAATCAAGTTGAAACGTGAGCAGAATCACTTTTATTAAGGTTTAATTTTTCAGATGTTTAAAGTTTGCAAGATGTTTTATGTTTTCCTGGAGTTTGGCTTCGACATGGAACTTTGAGAGGGTAAGATTAAATGATGATATTGGCACCAAAGTTCAGGCTGTGCCCAAGTGAAAAGCCTTTTGTTTCTCCAAGTGTGTCAAATGAGAAATGATGCTAAATCACACTGGCAGAGCAACATCTGGGTTCAGTGACAACTTTTAGTTTTTAAGTGTTTATTGTATGAGTTTATACTTATACTTATAATTATACAACTTGACTTGAAGCAGATGGATAAAATAAAATAAAAACAGCCAAGAGATTGAAATAAGAGTTTTCATATGTGTTTATGGAACTGATGACTATACTGGTAATTCTGAACTGTTCTGAACATGTGACAAAAGAGAAAGATAGCTTAGTTCAGCAGCAGTGATTGTACTGTCGGCTTGAACTGTAACAAATGTTTTATTTTTTATTTGTTTTTTATACAATGTATTAATCCATTTGTTATCCAATGTGATGGGAAAAATGCATCCCGTCACGTCTGACCATTAAAACATACAGGTAATTCTAGATAAACATGTCAATGTGAGAGTTATGCAAAGAAATAAAATCTTACGATGTAGGAAAAGCAGTTTGCATTTTCAGAAGGAAAGTTTTGTTGCTCACATCTCCAGTTCTGAGTTAAGAGCCTGGACACCTGGGCTTTGTCAAATAAAACCGAAACTGTTTGCTGACTCCTAAATGTGCACAAACTGTTGTAAAACAAGAACATTCACTTCCTGATTAGAGCAGTGTTCTGCAGAGAAAATGTTAATGCCAATTGATAGAGATAGAGAACTTTACTAATTGGCTTTTATGTATGTGAATGTTCCTGTAAAGTGCCCTGAGACAACTTTGTTGTGATTTGATGCTATATAAATAAACTGAATTGAATTGAACTGAATTGAATTGCACGCTCCCTAAAAAAACCTGACATGTGTGGCATTGTGCTGTGTGATAAGGCTTCACATTTAGAGTAGCCTTTTATTGTGGTCAGCCTAAGGCACACCTGTGCAATAATCCTGCTGTCTAATCTGCATCTTGATATGCCACACCTGTGAGGTGGATGGATTATCTCCACAAAGGAGAAGTGCTCACTAACACAGATTGACACACATTTATGAGCAATATTTGAGAGAAAAAGGCCTTTTGTGTATGTAAAAAAAGTCTTACATGTTTGAGTTCAGCTCCTGAAAAATAGGAACAAAACAAGTGTTGCATTTATTTTTGTATTCTATATATAATGCATATACTGTGCGTGTGTGTGTGTATGTGTATGTATACATAATGCAATCATATTAATCGCATAACATTTAGTCATAATATTTTATTGTGTATATTGATATAATTTTCTAAATAAAGTATTTCTGCATTTCTGGACTGAAAGTATAGTTTATTTGATAAGTTTGAAGAGTTTCAGTCAGGTTTTAGAGCTCAACACGGCACTGAATCTGCACTGGTGAACGTTACCAATGATATTCTCATGGCCTCAGACAATGGACTTGTGTCTATACTGGTCCTGTTAGGCCTCAGTGCTGCATTTGATACAGTTGATTATAATTTTATATTACAGAGGGTTGAATATGATATTGGGATTACAGGAAAAACTCTAAAATGGTTTAAATCATATTTATCTGATAGATTCCAATTTATAAATGTAAATAATTAATCTTCTTCATACACCAAAGTTAGTCATGGAGTTCCTCAAGGTTCAGTGCTTGGACCAATATTTTTTACCTTGTATATGCTTCCATTAGGTAAAGTTATTAAACAGCATGGGATACATTTTCATTGTTATGCTGATGATACACAATTATATTTGTCCATGAAACCAAATGAATCTAATCAGTTACTTAGACTACAAGCATGTCTTAAAGACATAAAAACCTGGATGGCCCAAAATTTTCTGCTTTTGAACACAGACAAGACTGAAATTTTGGTTTTTGGACATGAGCATCTTAGGAATTAATTTTTCAGTCTTTCTCCCTCCTTAGATGGCATTAATCTGTCCTCCAGCTCTATTGTTAAAAATCTTGGTGTTATTTTTGATCAGGACATGTCTTTTGTCCCCCACATTAAGGATTCAAAGATTCAAGGTTCTTTATTTGTCATTCGCACACCACATGTGGTACATGTGGTGGAACGAAATTATGTACACAGGGTCCCAGTTACATCCAACAATAAAATGTAAAAGAAAAACAGTAATAAGATCTAAGATATGAACTAAGAAAAACATCAACTAAATCAACAACAACATCAACATTACTAGAACTACCTTCTTCCACCTGCGTAATATCACTAAAATTAAACATCTTATCTAAAAATGATGCAGAAAAACTGGTCCATGCAGTTGTCACATCTAGACTGGACTATTGCAATGGTTTATTATCTGGATGTCCAAATACTTCTTTAAAACATCTTCAGTTGATCCAAAATGCTGCTGCCAGAGTCTTAACTGGAGTTAGTGGAAGAGATCACATTTCTCCAGTTTTAGTTTCTCTCCAATGGTTCCCTGTCAAATCCAGAATAGAATTCAAAATCTTACTTCTAACCTACAAAGCTCTCAACAACCTAGCTCCCTCTATATTTGAGATCTTGTTGTTCCATATTTTCCTAACAGAGCACTCTTCGCTCTCAGACTGCAGGTTTACTCGTGGTCCCTAGAGTTTCCAAAAACAGAATGGGAGGATGATCTTTCAGTTATCAGGCTCCTCTCTTGTGGAACCAACTTCCAGTTTCTGTCCGTGAGGCTGACACATTGTTCAGTTTTAAGACTGGACTTAAGACTTTCCTTTTTGATAAATCCTATAGTTAGGGTTGGCTTGTTATGCTGCTATAGGCTTGGACTAGTACAGGACAAATTGACCTCATTTCTTTAAATGAATTGTTAAAACTGAATAGTTTTCATTTGATACTATTTCTATCTTAATGTGATTCTTGACCTGCCATTGTGTATCTGTTCCTCATTCCTGTCCCCTCAAACCCAGCAGGTCGAAGCAGATGGTCGCTTGTCCTGAGCCTGGTTCTGCTAAAGGTTTCTTCCTCATGAGGGAGTTTTTTCTTTCCACTGTCACCTTCATACTTGTTCAAGATGAGAGTCTGTGATGGAGTTAAACTCAAAGCTGTCTGATCCTCAGATAAATAATGTTAAATTATTATTTTTATATATGAGTGTTTCTGTTCAGTGTCCTAAGATAACTTCTGTTGTGACTTGGTGCTATAGAAATAAACTGAACTGAATTGAATAATTAGCCCACAGCGCAATGTAATATATAAATATGAAACAAACCTTGTTTTATCAGTTTAAAACTTAATTTATGAGATTTTCACACCCAGAGGTCTGATGTTTAACCTGGGCTGACTTACTTCTGCTGGAAGTCTTTGATGAGTTTCTTGGCCTTGTTGTACTTCTTCTCCAGAGTCTGGTACTGGGCCTGGGCCTCCTTCAGGTGTTCGTTGACGGTGTGGCAGAGAGTTTGCGCTTCGATCCAGTAGCTCTCCAGCTTCAGCATTCTCTCCTTGTTCTCCTCGATGCTGGCCTTCAGCTGGCTCTTCTCCTTCTCCCAGCGCTGCTTCTCCTTTTCCACTGATGCCAACTGCAGGTAAGTAGAAGCACCTTCATGAACAACACACAGACTTTACATTGCTCACTAAGAATAATCGAGGTGTTTCCTGTTTTTAGCAATAACTTTCATAATTCATAAGATTGTGTAGTTTACATAAAAGATTAAGTGGTTAAACTTCAGGATTTTACAACAAAATCTAATAATAAACTCTTCAGCGACAGCTGCTAATAAAATTTAAGTGCTCTGCAAATTGTCTTTTTAGGGTAAAATCAGAAGTGGGAGCACAAACTGCTTAAGTTCATTTCCATGGTAACGGGAAACCATCATTACCCTTTAATGGGATTTCTAGGCACCACTTGATTCAATCATTTGACTCCCACCTCATTAATTTAAAACATAATGAAATTAGATTAAAAAAAATGTTGACTGCTTATAAAAGGAGAATTGCATCCTAATACTATGAAGTGACCTCCTGATGAGAAACGTCAAAATAAAAATGCAGACAAAATAAATCTGACCTAAACGAATACAATTAACCTAAATATGTACTTCCATCAAGCTGCTCATGTTCCTCTCACATTCCCAGTCTCTCTGAACTTTGACAAACTTCTGCGTTTTGCCTCCACATTCTGCCCCTTACCTTGTTTTTCAGCTTCTGGATCTCGGCCTCGGTCACTGTGTGTTTTATCTGGAGCTGTTGAGAAATTGAGATGGGCAAAAGTGAAAACAGGAGCGAGGAAAGAGGGCGGTCAGATGATCAGATGCACGACTGCGCAGGCTCTCCGCTGTCAATGCAGCATGAGTGATGGAGGCAGCCGACCCTGTCTGCCCTTTCACCACATCCCAGCTCTCGCTCGGACATCCACTCTCAGAGGGGAGAGACAGAGAGCCTCGTGATGCTACAGAAGAGGAGCCATTTCTAAAAGTCTATCCAAAGATAGCATAAAGTCTAAAACTTTGTATATTTTTAAACAAAAGAAAATCTAATAATGCTTCTGCTTTTATCTAATATGATTAAAACTGGCCAAATATAAAGGTGTATCACATTAGATAGAAAGTTGCAGATTTTGAGTTTTAATGAGACGCTGAGAGGAAGAATGGGCGTTACATAATGACAGAGCAGAAATAAAATTTAAAAAATCAGACAGTTCAAAATATAGAAAAACAACATGAAATAAAAAAGGGATTGAAGTAAAAAAAGAAACCTAGACTGATCTCATTGGAAATCTAAAACAATTTTAAATCAATATTTTTAATATTACACATTTTCATTGCAAATACAAAAAAATAGTAAACAATAGAATAAATGTGTGCACACAGAAACCAGGTATGATGTTTGCTTTTTCACTTGATTTTCACTGCAGGGCTGCTAAAATGTTCTGTTAAACATGTAAAAATCAACAATGTTCAGTCAGGTCATCTGGACGCTTTTAGTGTTCTGAACAACTTCTGCATGACTGTCTGGGACTGACGGGGGAGAGGATGGGCCCCGGAGGCATCTTAGCACAAGCAAACTGGTTTCCACTATGGAGTATGCTGTTAGTGGGAATCAGTTTTGTGATGGCTGTGGTGTCTCCTCAGACAGAAGAAGTCCTTTGGATGAACGACGAAATGCCAGCAAAAAAAAAAAACGTCCAGATGACCTGACTGAACATTGTTTTGTTAAATGTTATACAGCTATTGCGGCGGTGAAACGAGCCTCGCAGTAACAGCAGAGGAGTGATCAATCAACATTACCAGCCGCTCAGCAGCTTAAAAAGAACAAGGGAGCTACCAGACAGTAAATTGATGTTCCATTTATTGCTGCAGTTTTTGAGTGCAGCTCATACTTTACACTGCAAAGGTTTCACAACACTGGCTTCTTCTACCTGAAAATAAATTAGTACAAAGCAAAGATTATGGTACACTCTGATGAAAATGCTGATGTGAATTCAGATAGACTGTGGTTCGGTGAAGTAATTAAAAAAACGTTCATGCCTTCTGTGTTTGATCGCTCAGATTAAGGATCAGAGATGGTAAACAGTTCTTGGATCTTAGCAAAAGAACACAATGCTGTTAAGTAAAGTGGAAATGCTACTGCTTTGGCATTTGTTGTTCAATGTATTCACATTTCCCCCATGGCTAAGCTATTTTAGTGAGAATGTAACCGTAGTGCAGTTTACACTTGCAAGCACTGAAAATGGGTTTCATTGAAAATTGTCTGTGTAATGTCTCCTCGGGATGATGAGCACAAAAAAGCATTTTGCTTTTACCTCTCTGAACTTCTGGTAGAGTTTAGTGGCGTCCAGCTCTGATGGAGACAAGATGTCTTCGGTCTCTGGGAGGTCAAACACCTCGATGCTCTTCTCGCCACCGGTCGTCGTTCCAGTCTCTTCGTCATCTGTGGCGTACTCTCCTGTCTGCTTCAAGACAAAATGTAAAAAGGCATGTGTGTAGTCTGCAGACAGTGCAATGTAAATGTAGGAGTGATATTTGTATTATCCTCATTGCTGCAACCAAAGTGGGGAGTGAACATTATTTAACAGCATTTTTGTAGATGTGTAGATGATCCCACTCATGTCAAGGCAGCACACAAGTTTTATGAAAAACCACAGAGGATAGATTCTAAACAAATTGTGGTGAAACTGGACAATGAAAAATCTGCATTAGTTTCATTATATTACAACATACTGCACAGTTTCATTTGATTTCCTAAACTTGGTATTTAAAACTTTGACAACTAATGAATTTCCCATGTTGCACTTGGTGTTGGCTTTGCTCAAACTAGCCATTATCTTGTCTTCAATTCAGTTCAATTCAGTTTATTTATACAGAACCAAGTCACAACAGAAGTTGTCTCAGGCACTGTAAAAAAACATTTACGTACATAAAAAAGTTAATTAGTAAAGTTATCTATCTAAGGAAGTCAGCAGATTGTGTTGAATCTTCACTGTGTCATGGTCTCCCATCCTGAGCAAGCACAAAGGGGACAGTGGAAAGGAAAAACTCCCTTTTAACAGGAAGAAACCTCCAACAGAACCAGGCTCAGGACGAGCGGCCATCTGCTTCGACCGGCTGGTTTGAGAGGACAGGAAGGAGAGACATACACAGAAAGGCAGGTCCAGATGTAGGTGCAGGTGTACCCCCTATTGGAAGAAAGACAAAAACACAGGTCAAGGATAGGAAAAAAGCATCCTGTGGTAGTAACTGGCATTCATCTCCAGCATATACTCCCAGCACTACTAGTTAGCACAGGATTTTATTTTCAAATTCTGTCATGAAAGGCGGCAGGCGAAATGCATTCCCTCAGGTCAATTTATTGTTTATATGTCAGACACAAATGAACACATTAGCAATAAAAGTAGCATTCCTTTAGGAAATGCATATTGCCCATTGCCTTGCATGCTAAAGTTTTCAGCAAAAATGTTGCCTCATTTTTAAGCATTAAATCTTGAATCAGCTTGACTCCATAAATTATGTAATTAGTTTTTTAAGAGTTTCATTAAACTCTGTGCAATGTTTCATGAGATATTTGCAAACAGACAGTAATAGTGACCATCAAATACAGTACGCAATAGTTTACAGCGGTCTAACAGATCTACAAGTGGTGGGAATACACCATCAATGAAATCAAACGATCTTCACAACAAACATTTGGTCAAAGACTAGCAAAGAAAGAAGTGTCAGTGTCAAGAGACAGTTAAAACCATCCCTGCAGACTGTGGAGCACTCCTCTCAGCTACAACTATCCAGCACATGACCATCAAGCTAATTATTCTCACTTATTAAATGAAAACGCTCGTCTGTAGCCTTGTACCACACACCTGACCCTGGTGAAAAAAACTATGTTCAGCTGAAACGACTCTTTAGAATGTAGCTCTCTGGCCTTCAGAAACAAATTCTTATCTATCCCGTTGTAAAGGAAAAGGAACCAGAACAGAAAATGTGTCTTCAGTACAATCCTGTAAGCGTGTGAAGATGGCTCATCACATCTGTCATCAATCACGTCTTTCCTCACTCGCTCTCGTTCAAGACGGATGCATGTCTTCCCTCTCCTGTCCTCCTCCTGCTTTTTTACTCTATGACTGTGTATCGGAGTTCCTATTTACACATCTTCCAAAATGTAAACTACTGTCATGGATCTGGTCAGCTGGACTTTCAACGCAAACAATACATTTTTTTCAACAAAGCGACAGGGTCCTGGAGAACCCTCATGCCCCGGTGAGATGCACACGGCAGGATACGTCACGGATCTGACGTGCCTCTCTGTATTGTCTCAGGAGGACGCCGAAGACATTGGAATCATGATAACATGGTTTCTGCTTTTTGGCACTGGCAGATTCCTATGTTATCGGCTATTAAAGAAGAAGTCTGCAGCAGTTTCGGACGTGGCAAAGCTGCCGACCCTGTGTGAAGGTTTGGTTCGTGCTTCGAGCACTTAAAATCAGCTGATTTACGAGCTAAACCGTAAGATGGAAGCGATCTGTGAGAATCGCAGGCCACTTGTGGTTTCTGGGACTCGCCAGCATGTTGGGGACGACCTTGGAGGGGGCTCATAAGCATGGACCAGTGGAATGCCATCAATAGTAGATTTCAGGGTTGTATTAATATTTTATGCTGTTATTTCTTCCAAGTCTCATTTAGATTCAGTGAAGCTAGTTTTCTGCTAGCAACATTTTTTAGCTTCATAAAAATGTGTAACTTTAGCTGGATAACTGATGAAACATTGGTTCACAGCTTACAAACCACATGCTTGTTCCTTTTTGTGAATAATTTAGACATTCAAAGTGTTTGATTTTTTTTTTTTTTTCAAATGAAACAACTAAGAACCTAAACTGACACAAAATTATAAAAAAAAACAACGTTGGTGTTAGAACTTCCAGCTCCTCCACACTGTCACTTGTTTAATGTCCTCAGTCATATCAGGTGTGTTCTAGTTGTTTTGCCCTTGGTTTACCTGGACTTACAAACAAAGTTACAACTGTTGTTCACTTTTCCAGTGCTACCTGCAGATGTCCAGTACGCTCTTGAACAACAGAGGCCTGGCGTGGACCAGCAGGATATGGAGCCCCTCCACATAAAGGTGCAGGAACTCAAGTCTTGTGGACGAGCAGCTCAGTGTGAAAGAGGAGACTGATGTGACCAGGTTTCCCTCCACTGCACTTCCTTTCAAGAGTGAGGATAAAGAAAAACCTGTCTTCACAGCTTCATCTACACCAAGAGGAGGACAGAGATCTCCCAACCAGCAGCTCAGCTCTCCAGATGGAAACAGCCACAAGAGAGGACAGTGGAGCAGCAGCAGGTTTCAGCTGTGACGAATGTGGCAAAAGATTGAACAAAAATTGTTCTCTACGCAAACACCAGTGAACCCACATGGGACTGAACCATTTGCTTGTGAAATGTGTGGACGCAGATTTTGACAAAAGAAATATTTAAAGAGACACATGAGAAAACACAAACAAGGCAGTGCTTCAATGACTGCTAATTTAGAAACATTTCTCGAGATTTAGAAATGTGTTGTTGCGGAAAATTTGTGAAATAAGTTCTGAAGACCAGTGAAAAAAAGATTTCTAATCTAGAATTTTTTTAAATGATTTTAAGTTCATTTTAAACTGTTTTCTTTTACGGTATTCTTGTAGTTTATGCAAAAAAATGTGTTCCTCTAACTGACGTCACTTTACATCTGATTTCCATTTTCTGTTTTGCTACAACACAGTCCCTCTAGTCTAAGATATGTTGTTTATTCTGGTTTTATACTTCTGGATACAAGTAAAGGTGGAGGAGCAAGTTCATTTAAATCGCTAAGAACAAGACATAGATCACTGAACATTTGGAAATGTTCAAAGTACAAGATCTTATAACAATAGTACAACAGTGAACATGAAAAGGTTGTCTGTCTAATACTTTGTCTTTTTGAAGAGAGACGACAGGTTTCAGTAGATCTCTTGTTGTGTGTGACCAGGTCACAAGACAATAACATATATGAATTCAATTCAATTCAGTTTATTTCTACAGCTCCAAGTCACAAGAGAAGTTGTCTCAGGGCGCTGTACAGAAACATTCACCAACATTATAAAAGACAGTTAATAAAAGTCATCTATCCAAGGAAGCAGCAGATTGTGTTGAATCTTCACTTCATCAAAGTCTCCCATCCTGAGCGAGCACAGAGGAGACAGTGGAAAGGAAAAACTCCCTTTTAACAGGAAGAAACTACCAGCAGAACCAGGCTCAGGATGAGCAGCCATCTGCTTTGCCTGGTTGGGTTTGAGAGGACAGGAAGGAGAGACAAACGAACACAGAATGGCAGGTCCAGGTGAACTTTCTATAGGAGGAAAGATTAAAAAAACACATTAAAGACAGAAATAATTACAAATACAAACAGATAGATTAGAGCAAGTAATGACAGAAAATGTGGTCTGTTTGTCCTCCAGCAGTCTAAGCCTATAGCAGCATAACTTAAGGGATGGCTCAGGAAACCCTAGCCAACTCTAACTATAGGATTTATCAAACTAGCAAGACTTAAGTCTAATCTTAAAACTGGACAATGAGTCAGCGTCACGGACAGAAACTGGAAGTTGGTTCCACAAGAGAGGAGCTGAAAGCTCTTTCTCCCATTTTGCTTTTGGAAACTAGGACCCACAGTTGAACCTGAAATCTGGGAGCAAAGTGCTCTGTTATGAAAATAAGAAACAATAAGATCTGTAATATAAGATGGAGCTAGGTTTTTCTTCCCTGAACATATTTATTTCTAGTCTTCCAAATTCATAATGCCCAAAGCAATTTCTGCTGCAGGTAAGTTATTGATTGTTACAAAACAAGTCCTCAGAACACTATATAAAAAACTAACTATTCCTTAGATCATATAGGTAAATCTCCCTTCGCAAGCCTGCCACCCTACTTTACATGAATGCTGAAGACAAGTTTGTCTCTGCACCAACAAAAGAAACAATCTCTCAACACCATTAAGTTATTACTATGATTATCATGATGCTGCAACAACCTGAAATGATGACAAGCAGCAGGGCAGCAACAGATTCAGTGTAAAAGGTCTAACTCGGCACAGCATGCCGATTCTTTGCTAAAAGCCAAATTAGAGCCATAAAATCTTTAATAAGACCTGACAGTGCTATAATTACAGAACAGTCAGGGTCAGCACCTGCAGCCAGGAGAGGAGCGAATGCAACAGCTACCAGAAAATAAAAGATTCCTAACAGCACTGGAAGAAACCCCTAACAAAACCAATGCAGAAATATCTGCTTGTTGAGTCTAAATCTATGAACAAGTTCTGCTTATTTTTTGTACACAAGTGAGGATAGACCGTGCAGTGATTTATGTCCCTCCAGTGTGATATTTTATGTGCACACGCAGCGATAGTGTGAGCTGCAGGGCCGTGAGCCGAGTGTCGGGCGGATTAAACGTGCTGTGACTAAGCAGCAGAGTCAGAGAAGAAAATGCTGAGTGATGCAGCTCTGCTCTTAGTTTGCACGTCTGAGAGAGGCATCAAAGGACTACTGCCAGTCAGTTTTATGACATTAACATGCTAAAACCTTTAAAAAGATAGAGCTGATGTGCATTCAAGACAACTACCAAGTGTCATGTGTGAGAAAAGTGATGTGTAATTTAAAAATTAGCACAATTTTCCGATTTACATCCCAGTGAAGCTGGACTCTCACAGACAGGATGAGAAGCTCAGTTATTTGGGAGAGACTTGGAGTAGAACTGCTGCTCCTCCACATAGAGGAGCCAGTTGAGGTGGTTCGGGCATCTGGTAAGGATGCTCCCTGGGCGCCTCCCCAGGGAGGTGCTTTGGGCATGTCTGACTGGGAGGAGACACCGGGGAAGACCCAGGACATGCTGGAGAGATTATGTTTCTTGGTTGGCCTGGGAACGTCTTGGAGTCCTCCCAGAAGAGCTGGAAGAGATGGCTGTGGAAAGAGATGTCTGGACCTCTCTGCTCAAGATGCTGCCAGACTTCGGAACAAGCGGAAGATGATGGATGGATGGACATCCCAATAAAATATTCTCATATACACAGTACTTCATTGCTCTTCTAATAAAGAGTGTTCTGGAGTGTGGCTGAGGCACTGTGTGGTCATTACCTCATCATCATCAGCATCATAGTGGGCGTATTGCTGCTCCAGTAGCTCTCTCTGCCTCCTCTCCTGCTCCAGAGTCTGCTGGATGAGCGCGGCCACTTCACTCTGCTGACCCGGACGCTCTCGGCCAATCAAAAACCTGCAAGGACACGCCGCGTTCACTGACAGCTCTGACGCAGAGTCAAGCACCCCGTCGTTTTGAAACAGCTGCGTTCTTATGGTACAATTTTACAAGTTTTCTGAATAACAGTGAAGCTGGAAGAACTACTGAAGTACAGTTCAAATAAAATACTTTCTCTAAAGAAATGAATCTTCAGGAAATCGTTGAAGGTGAGGAAGGATGCCCTTCGTGTGATGGCAACCCATTGGCACATTCTCTAGAAAAAATGTAGGAACAATCGTTAAAAATCATGGTTTCAATAGCAACAAAATGCAAGGCTCCATTTTACACAGTGTGTCCAGGAGCACAAAGCTGCAGGAGGATGTGAAACAGATTTATTAAGTATCTGAAGTGCTAATGTTAAACCAGTGACTGCATATTTCATGTTTTCTTCTATTCTAATTGGTTTCTGACAACTTTAAGTTTTAAATAATGTCTTCAAATATGCAGGCAATTTAAAAAATGCATTAAAATTAATCTAAAAAAGTTAAATCTGGTCCTCTGGACATTTAAAGAAACAAAACAAAGCAAATCAACAAAAAATGTAGAAACGTTTCGTCTCTCATCCGAGAGACTTCCTCAGTCTGAGGTGCTGTATTCAGCTCAGTCTCTTAAATAGCACCTTCTCAGAGTGGATCAACCAGTTTTGCTGCTGACAACCAAAACCAGCTGATCACATGCTCAAGAATTGAGCATGCATCAGGATATTAAAATTAATGTTTTTTATGCACTGTATTGTATTTTAGAATTAATCGTCATCTGACATGAAAGCTGCTACAGCTAGTCAACCTTAGCAAACACAAATATGGCAAAAACTCAGTTACTTTCACCAATTTTGAACTAAAACTTGGTGTGGTAGTAGCTGAGAGTCATGTCCAACAGTTGCTTTGGGCACTAACAGATCACACAACATCTCTGTTTAAAACTTTGATATACAGGTGTGATTTGCTTCTCTTCAGTAAACTTAATGCTTATTAATGTGTTTGTTAAAGGGTCAGTTCAGCCCTTTTAGAAAGACATTTTGTTAATGAACAAATATTTATTTTGTTGTGAGTAGCTTTTAGATTAGCTTGAAGTGGGAGCTGCAAATTCCTGACGAACAGAAGCTAATGGTTGCAGGACTAAGACCAAAACTGATTACTGCCATCTAAAAACAAATCTCAGAACTTTTATGCTAATGTATAAACATTCGCAGTTTCAGGTTCACAGTACTCATATATCCCAGTATAACTTTTATAATATTTCTGCTGGAAGTGGCCCAGGTTGTAGAAACATGCAAATAGTGAACGCTGCATAAAAATAAAAATAAAAACAAGTGAAACTGGTGGTAATGTAAAGTTTTACAAGATAGCATTAGCATGAATTTCTATTCTATTATTTTAGGGCTGAAGCAGTCCACTTTGGTCCTGGCCATGTTTAAACAAGCTGTTAGCTTGTTAGTAGCTGGTCAGGATTGAACTCCAGTCCTCCAACTTGAGGTTGTTCTAAGAGTCATCTACAACAGGTAAGACATTAGCTGTTCATAACTTTTCCACAGAACCCCTTCTTTAAACGATCTGCACCGTTGCTTGAAGGAAACAGACATGCATGGTAATTCTCGGTGTACTGCTGTATTCCTTTGTGCTTCTGTGCAGGAAACAACAAGCACAGCAATCACTTTGAGAGAGAAACCAAGGGCCCAGAGCCAGACAGCAATGACAGCAATATTTTCTGACATATCAGGGCAGGGTTAGGAGACTGGATGTGCATAAAAAGTAAGAAGCCACTCAGGCAGGCAGCCAGCTATTAGCCTGGCAGGGAATTAAACGAAGGAAACCACAGGCTGTGCCTCCAAGCGATACCACTGGAGCCACACATGAAACCTCCAATATCACGTTCAGATGTAGGACAGTGTAAAAGAAGACAGACACTTATTTAAAGACTAATTTATCTTTGATATAGGCTCTCTTGGAAATTCTGTTTACTCTGTATGTGCTACAAGTCTCAGATTCAAGGCTTGAAACAGTTTTCAGATCATAAATCAACAAAGCCGGGCAGAGAGTAGTGCAGTTCCTCAAGACGTCCTTGTATTTTCAATAACTTTACTACATCTAACATGGGCTCTGCTAAAAAACAATGCATGCTAAGTCAAAATAACGACCAATATAATCAGAGTCAGAGTCAGAGTTTCTTTATTGTCATTCGCACCTCATGTGGTACATGTGGTGGAGCGAAATTATGTACACAGGGTCCCAGTTACATCCAACAATAAAATGTATAAGAAAAACAGTAATAACATCTAAGATATGAACTAAGAAAAACCAACTAAATATACACTAAGCACTCATAACATAAAACATTGAACATCAGCACAAACATGAACATGAGTCTGTGAGCAGATGAGCACGCATGAACACATCAACATTGAAACAGATGAGCAGCAACATGAAACAGATCAGCAGCAACATGATATGGTTTTTCACAGTGATTATTCTAGTTAGAGATTCATGAGTCTAATAATAATAATAATAATAATCTAATAATCTCATTGAACATCTAAAATCTCACACCCAGTATGGTTTAGATAAAACCTGCTGGGTGTGAGTGAGGTCCAGTCAACTTGGAAGTAAGCAAGTCATTATGAGAGAGGTGGAAGACTGGAAGTAGATTCAATAAAGAACCTAATCAAGTGAATTCATTTCCCCCGAGCTCTTTCATCTATTTCTAAAGGCCAAGGAGTGGGCTTATGCTCCAGCAGAGAGCCATACTTGTGCACGTGAGGGAACCATTGAAGGGCAGAACACTGAGAGGAAGTATTAAATAATACTCATACAAAATGACAGAGAGGGCAAACGATTAGAGTTTTTCATTTTTACTACAAGCCCATGGAGAGCAGATATGTCTGAGGAGGAGCTGACCTGGAAACAGCCTTTCATCACATGCAGCGGTGTCTCTCTGCCTCCCGCTGTTCTGAGTCCCACACGGGGTGTCGGATCAGCTGAACTGGACAAACTGTCAGTTTTTATTTAGTTTTCTGCTTCCAATTAAAATGGATATAACTAATAATCAGAACAGTGTAAAATTTGAGCTTCTAAGACATATAAGACGTTCTAATATAATTTTGGACATGCTCGATGTGGTCTCGTTACTGTCTGATCAAAAACATAATAATTTAGACAACATTTAAACTGAAAATGAAGAATTTATGTTTGTAACAGCAGAATGAAATCATACAGGGGAGTGATGGTGCAGAGGTTATAGAGAAGGTAGGCCTGTGAGCTGAAGGCCGCCAGTTTGACTCCCGGTACCGACAACATCAAAATGTGGGTGGGAAAGGAGGTGTTGTGTCAAAAATCGATAGATGGCCGCTGGAGCACGCTTGGAATTGCAGTTCTTCAAAATTTAACAAGATTAACACCTAAAAACAATTATTTGTTTGCACCGGTCGGCACCTGTGCCGAAGGTGAGGGGGCCTCGTCCTTCCCCCGCCGGAACTGGGAGGAAGGACACAACGAGGCACAATGTCCACGACCCCGGGAAGTGGTGAGGTGTGGGCGGGGTGACGCTGTAGAGCTTGCGGCCGGAGCCACCTTTGTCCCTAGCTCATAGTGGAGTGATATGTAATGTGATGAGACCGGGAATGGTGCTGATGCTATGATGCTAAGGTGTTCTGAAGACGATGGTTGATAAATATAGTTCATGATGAGTCTGTCAGGCGTCCGTCTTCTTGTAGCAAAAGGGGTAAGTCAACATGTATTACAGTACCTGGACCCTTCCAGGCCGACCCAGGCCGGTCACGATACACAGCCCCTGGGCAGACTGCGCGGACCCCACCCATTTACAAACTTTCTTTCTGCTGCTTGATTACCATTTTGGGCTGCATATTGTAATATGTAATATTACAAAGCTGCAGTTTGTAATAGGGATGCACAATATTATCGGCATGGTATCAGTACCGGTCGATATTAGCGTTAAAGTTAAATATCAAACATTAGCCATTGTGCCAACAGCCATCAGCCAACGTGATGATGTTGTAGTGGCAGCACAATGCGATGGTGTCACATGCACCTACCTGATCTCACGGCAGACAGGAAAATTCAAAATGTCGGCGGTGTGGAAGTTTTATTTTTTGTTGGTGACGATGTTGGAGTCCAAAGATTTATGAACCACATTGAGCCTCGCTACATCGTCCCCAGTCTGAGATATTTTTCTGACGTAACTTTACCCGAGTTACAAGCCGTCATTTCTGACGTCATTGAGAAGCTAATAGCCGATAGCACGACTTGTTGGGTGAGTTTTACCACAGACATTTGGACGTCGTGTTAGCCCCGTTAGCATGATTAGTCTTACGGCACAATGGACAGACAAAAACTTTGAACTTAAAAAGTCTGTCCTTCATGCACAAGAGTGCAGAGGATCCCACACTGCAGCTATAGGAACCTGGAACAAACCTCCACAAGTGAGACAGCATCGCTGGTGACTAATGCTAATAAATAACATTTAACACTTTTCATTTAATATAAGTTAAAGTGCTCTGCAGATCATATGGCTGTTACTGAATATATGTCACCAGCTCTTACAGCTGTTAAACAATTTTTGTAGCAACTAAGTCTAAATAAGATGCTATGTTCTGACAAAGGAACGTATATAAAATATTGGTATTGGCATCGGTTATCGGCCAAATAAGTTTTAACATATCGGATATCGGCTAAAAATCCAATATCGTACATCCCTAGTTTGTAATCTGCAGAATAACATTTTCTTTTCTCAGATGTCTCTAAGTGAATGTTTGTTTTTTTGTGGGGGGCAGGGTTAGCGGTATAGGAACAACATATAGTTGTCAAAAGCATAGAGGGCCATCTCGCAGCTGTAAATGGTAATGTTTACTCTGGTCCATGTCAGTATGAATGAACATTTAAAGCGTCAGTCAAAAATTGCATCATGAATAGGGAAAAAATTGATATAAGCCGCTGCATACTATACGTCGCAGGACTGGCCCAACTATGAAAAAAAGAGTGACTTCTAGTCCAGGAAAGCCTTCATACTAAAACGTGGATGATTTGCTGCTGAAAGTCGAGTTTAAATATAGCTAAAAAGGCAAATCTGGGACAGTTGGCCAGGAAACCTCTGGTGATCAGACAGAATGAGGGGAGGATTTACCGAGAAGGAGGAGGAGATGCAGGGAGGGAGGAGTGGGGGTGGGAGTGAGTGAGAAGTGATGGAGGAAGATCGAAGACGGAGCGAGAGTGAAGAGGTGGGAGACAACAACAAGGAGGGAGAGACGTTGCAAAAGACTGTAACTTGTCACTCTGACGTTCATATCTTGGTCCTAAAATGTCAAAAATCCCCCACATAACTTGAGTACCTCTGTGGTACTGGTCAACATTATATCATTTATCTATTTATAGTTGTATGATAGACAGATGGAATGTTTTCATGGCTGCCTCACCTATTCAGTCACATCCTGGAGTGTGGAAACATCCACTGTCAATATTAGCTTAGCAAACGGCAGGCTGCGGTGATGCTGCTGGACATTTCATGTACTGTACTAATATCACCCTCCAACAACTCAGCGCTACACCCACTGATAACTGAAAGTTACAAAAAAACAAAACATAGTGAAGTTTAGGATTGCTTTACAGCAACACTAAAAAATGTCTTCCTGTTCAGGATGTTCAACATTGTGGCTGACTTCTCCCTGGATGTTTTATTTTAAAGAGTTAAAAATTAGTTTGAAAGAAGAGGAGGTGGGAAACCACAGAGGATGTTGAAAATCACTGAAGCATACCAAAGGGAAAAAATAAGTCGAAAAGACAAGAAAGAATCAGTTGGAGGCTGACATAGCAGGCTGTTGCCAAGCACAGCTCGAGCATCGCAAATCAAAGCCTTCCTGCCTTGCTTTGAGCATGTGTGTGTGTGTGTGTGTGTGTGTGTGTGTGTGTACTTTCTACTCCAAATTGCTCTCTAAAGTAGACCAAAGACAAAAGCAATGCTCTGCACTCAAGCAGCAAGACCTCACTCTGTACGTGTGTGTGCGCATGTTTCACACCAAGTATGGCGACTCCCGTGATGGTTTTTATCTTTCTGCACCACGACAGCAGGACTGGATGAATTCAGAACCACACAGTTCACTGTCTGCTCACATGCCAAGCGATCATGACTGACTTGAACACATTGAAAACCCAAGATTTATTTCTGGAAACCAATTAGTGTTTGACAACAGCTTCTCTTTGTGTCTTTTGGAGAACACTTGACGAAACAAGTACAATTATGTACACACAACTGAAAGGTGCAGATCTGCAAAACTGAACCGGAACCAGAAAGGCTTTGTACAAAATATTTCATCACACTTGCTGAGTTGTTGAGGACGAAGTGATCTAGACAGTCTGAGCACACAAGCAATAATGAGTGAGGGCTTTAAGGCCTGTCACGAGAGCATAAAGACGTCAAAAATACATACAAACGTAGCATTTTTCAATAAGCTCGACTCAACCCTACTCAAGTGGAGGCTTCAGAATCTTTTCACTGGGTGATCCCACCTGCTTCCAGCTCGCTTCTTAAAACCTACTCTGTTTAGGTTTGAAGCAAGTCGGCTTGCAGATCTGACGTCAGCGGACTGCAGGTTACTGACTGGGCAGAGAGCGACGTCAATCACAAGCGTCAAACCTTCACAGGAATCAAATCTACTACATTGAATTGTAAAAAAAACAAAACTGTTCAACCTGCTGGTTGGCTGATGGAATTCATAGAAGCTAATCCAAGTACACTGGATCTACGAGCTCCAACCAATGGATACAAGGTCTCGACTGGGAAATGGCATTTTTGGAAACTGTGGCCGAGGATGAGTGTTTTCTGACTTTATTTCACTTATTTGCCCATTGCTGTGTCGTATTTGTCTTGGTTATGAAATAACGGTGGAAATTTCAGGTGGTTGTGCAACGACGATCTGAGGCAGCTCTCATCTTGTATAGAAAACCACCCAAAACCAGAGTAGAGCTGAAATGAGTTGTGGTGAGACTGGCCAATAAAAAAATAAAACAACTATAAATAGGCCGCGACACGCAGTATATCCTCATGGTCTCAGAAAAACACTAAACTAAAAATAACCATGACAGAAGTATGTTTCTTTTATTGTTTATTTAAAAAAATGAAAGACTGGATGTCCTGAAAGCCTGATGAGGTGTTCATTCAACCTTTATTTAGACAGGTAAATCCCTCTGAGCCTCGAGGACTCATCATCGAGGTGTAGATCCTCCAGCCTACTGATTTACACGGATAGCTTTTTGCTTCTGCACGACTCAGATCTATGAAAATGTTTAACTCATAATAACATTTTTAGATGTACTGTAAGGTGCTTTTTTTTAACTAAAGCCTGAAAACATCAGGTAAAGTATTAGAAAAAAGGTGCAGTTCACAACACGTTCAAGAGCTTCAAGCACAGGTTTAGTTTTACTGTATATTTATTTTCTTATTCATGTTATGCTGTGTTTGCCATTTAACTAAAAGGACGTAGAACTTCTTGTTGTAAACTTTTGGGATTTCCTTTTCTTGTTGAAGATTTAAAAAAAAAAAATCACACTTGTAATAAATGCAACACATTTAAAAAGTAGGAGACGGGATCTGTGAATAATCCTCACGGAACAAAGCAGCAAATTAGAGAAATTAAATTAAATTCATGGGCTTTGTTGACGTCTTACCGAACCACTCCCGATGTGTTCCTGAGAACGGAGGCAGCAAAGCTCTGAGTGACCCCCACCAGGCTGGTCCCGTCCACCTCCACGATCTGGTCATTCACCTTGATCCTGAAGCAGAGAAGCAGAAGCATCAATCGACCCTTTGTGTAAAAAGGCAAATGAGAGATTTGTCATAGTTATTGCAGTCTTTCTTAAACCATGTCAGTTGAGCTTCTTTTAAATCTGTGCTTTTTCTGCTTGAGACCTTCAGCCTGCAGCCTAACAGGGAGACTCAACCCCCCAACAGAGGGCTAACAAGGACGTGGCCTGATTTTTAGCCACAGGCCACAGAACATCTGGGATTTCTGCTCTGATCCGGAAATGATAAAAGGTCAGATCAGCTTTTGACCTGTAATTGCAATGGTAAATGGTAAATGGTAAATGGTAAATTGACTGTACTTAGCACCTTTCTATCTAATCAAAGCTCTTTCCAACACAAACTGTGCCTCATTTACCTCCACACACATTCAAACAGCACTCTACTACATCTCTACAAAGATAATGTGAGTCTGTAGAGACTCATCAGAGCTTTAGATCACACTCATACAGCGATGGGGCCCTCAGTAGAGGCAATGAGGGGTTCAGTGTCTTGCCCAGGGACACTTCAGCTGGTGGAATCGAACCCCCAGCTCTCAGCCACAGCTGTCCCTTGGACAACTGTAAAACAGGGAATACACTGCAAACAAGTTGTAAGCAGAGCACGTAAAGCAGACATTGCTTTAATTATTCAAATCAAATGTTGATAAAATACATTTAAAAAAGGGTAAAGGGATTTTTAATGGGGCTTGTGAATAATTTCCTATTCTGCACATGAATAAAACAAAAATAAGTGTTCATTATTTCACAGCAAAACAGCAAGTTCTTCTAACTCTTTATTGCTTCAGGGTGCGTTGTGTATTTTTTTTAACATACCACTTTAGTTTCCACTGCAACGCTCGTATTTTAAAACTGCTAACATTTTCTTTCCACATTAGTCCACTTTTATGATGTCAAAAGGTCAGTGAAGGCCTCTTCATTTACATAAAATCACTATAACTAAAGGACCCAAAGGTTCAAATTTAGATAATTATTTTGAAACTAGAGAACAAGCACTGACCACTGAGCTACCGTTTCCTCTATACCAAGATTAAAAAGAACCAAGATCAAAAGAAATGGTAAAGTCTCCTTTGTGGCTCGTTAAGGTCACCATGGTAACCACACACCTGAGTTTCTCACTCCCTGACAGCACTCTGAGAGGCAAACAAAAATGCAGACGGAGGTTGGGAAAAAACTTTACTTTGTTTTATAAAATATTGCTTTCTTCCTAATCCTATAAGTGACAGAAGCAACTAGCTATTGTCACATATCAATTTTTGTTTTATGATTTATGTAGGCGATAAGAGAAAAAAAAAAAACATCACTTTCAATTTTGAAAGGAAAATTCAGAGCTCAGATACGATGGATGTCAAGAAGAGTTTGGGCTTTTTAAAATGAGAGTCACACTGGGTCAAAGAACACCCAAATGCTTGTTTTCATGCACAAACTGTAAAAGTAGCTGTAAATTGTAAAGTAAAAATGTGGAAATTTAAAAAAAGTTTGAAAAACGTTTGGATAGTCTGAACAGCTCTAAACACTGTAAGATGAAAATTCTGTTGAAAAATCTTTAAAAACTCGTGTGTATAAATCATTGAAGACATCAAAGTGCCAGTTCAGTCATGGAAAGTCCAACTTTCTATGACCCATTTAAACTTGGAACTATTTCTACAGTGAACTCTAAGCTATAGAGCCACAAATAGGGCTTTTTTTTTTTGCTCAAAAATCCATTGTTATTCATTTCATCTACCCTGTATGATGTAATGCTACCATAACTTATTTTGCAGAGAGAAAAGGAATGGTGAGAGTACAGGGCCCTGTGGTACACCTGAGCTTCCAACCACCTGGTTAGACACACAACCCTTCAGTCTCACAAACTCTGGTCTGTTTGATCCAGGTGGTTGGTGAGGCTTCCACCTGAGTCGTCTGGAGTTTCTGACAAAAATATTTTCATCTACAAGTACATACTTTTTCCTATCATTAAGTCAACCACAACTACACTTGAAGGACTCATAAAACAGTCATTTTATGATAGACCAAAGTCACAAAAGTACTTACAAACACCCAATTTTCACTTTTATAAAACAATTTACAACAAAAACAAGATAGAAAAAAGGTTTTAAGCTGCAGCTTCCTTTCAGCTCCTTTCCAGTTCTGTTACACACATCCATGAAGCGTAAAGCAGCTGCTGAGAGGGATTTAGTATGAGTTTGATGCATACCGCATCCAGCAGAGCCATGTCAAATGGATGTATAGAAAGCCGTCAGCCTCACGGGCAGAAGGAAACAGAGCTGCTGGTCTGTCAGCAGTGGCTCAGACACTTTCTTGACCTTTGTGGTCTAAAGAAAACTTTATGTAACTGTGTGTGGTGAGGAACACTGACCGCAAAGAACATTTCATAATTGTGGATGAAAAGGGGATTGTGACTGTATCCAAAAAGGAAAGTTTCTTTTTCACTACTGAATCACAAGTTCTTCTTGAAGCTCCTCTTATTGGTTCTGGGGTTCAAGAACACTTTGATCTCGAATGCTTTCCAGAAGCTGACTGACTCGTGGTTTTGAATCTGCACGGATCAGGAGCCCTCAAGTTTGTGCTGACTTCCTGCTTTGTTTGGACTCAGACTACAACTTCTGCAGCTGCACTGAACTTAAACTTGTGACCTGCTATAGCATTCATTAAATCTCCACTAAAGACAATGTTCTGTCCACCATTCTTTCAGAAAAATTCACCACATCTGACAGCTAGAGAAAAAAAAGAAGTGGGCTGATAAACAACATACAGAGATATTCAGTCTTCAAACTGTCCCGTAACACCACCTAAGACGATACAGCAAGTCTCACACCTGTCTGCCTTGATCTGAGGATGCAAGTACATGTCAGAGAATTAATCCAGCAATGTGGAAACCATGTAGCAGGAGATGTAATAAGATGGTAAAAATATATTCAGCAAAGTATATATGCAGATGTTGGTCATAAAATTAGAATATCATGAAAAAGTTGATTTATTTCAGTAATTCCAGTGTTCTGACCAGCACTTGTAATATAATAAGGCAATGTAATGTAATAATCCTGCTGTCTAATCAGCATCTTGATCTGCCACACCTGTGAGGTGGATGGATTATCTCATCAAAGGAGAGTGCTCACTAACACAGATTTACACAAATTTGCAAAAAATATTTGAGAGAAAAAGACAATTTGTGCACATAAGAAAAAGTCTTAGATCTTTGAGTTTTGCTCCTGAAAAATAGGAGCAAAACAAAATTGTTGCACACACGCACACACACACACACAAATAAATTGTTTTAAGACTCTCTTAGTTCTCAAAACATCCAGATTTGTTTTCAGTTTGTATTCAGAGAAAACCTTAATGAATATGTTTGACTCGTTTAATTCAGGCTGACTGTGTTAGGAGGATGTGCAACAAGGTCAAGGTCAAGGTCACGGTCAAAGCCAAGGTTTCTTTATCGTCTTTCACATCATATGTGGTACATGTGATGGAATGAACTGTGTACTCAGAGTCCCAGTTACAGCCAACAAAATATACATTGTAAAGAAAAGCAGTACTAAGATCTAAGATATGAACTGTTTCACAGTTTACACTCTGTTTTTTCCTTTTCTCATCACTCTGTTCACTGGTTGACTTTTTCTTCTCTGGGTTTTTCCTCTGCTGCTTCCACCAGCCTCTTTACATGCCACGCCTCGCTCTCTGATTGTTGCTGACGGTTTCCACCTGTTTCTGAGTGTATATATACTTCCTGCTTTCTCCACTACATTACCAGATCAACTGCTTGCTTCCAGCCACAGTTATCCAGCGTACTCTCTTTGTTCACAGCTCTTTAATCTTGATCCACGCCTGTTTCCCCCGACCATGCTTTTTGCCCGTCCCTTTTGTGCCTCAGACTTCTGACCTTGTTGACGACCTACGCCTGTTTTTGGATTTCGCCTTTGCCTCTCCCTATCGGTACTGTCTCCTCTTCTGATCCCGTGTATGAACCCTGCTCATCCTCGACTACGCCTCTGGATTTCCCTTGGTCTCTGCAGCTCTGTCTCCGCTGGAGCGTCCCGTTACAACCAGAAAGGTTAGTGTTTCATCAGGCCGTCTGTATTCAGATAACTACTTGTTATTCTGTCAGGCATTAACCTTTCCCCTCTGTATCATTTTAGATACAGTTCCTGCCCCTGGACCTGAGACACCAGAAGCTGTTTATTTACTCAATAAACATTTTAAAAACCTTTCTGAGTCTGTGTGTAGGATCCTCTGCCATCAGATCTCTGACACTAAGAATACGTTAAACACTTATTAGTGCATAAACAATACGCTGAACAACAGCAGCACAACAAACAGGTGATATCGTGATACAGCATATACATAAATAGGTCATTTCTCAAAAACACTACCTATGTAGATGTTTTAATCATACATTTAGTCTTATAACAAATAAACATCAGACAACAGCTGTGATCCAAGACTGATAAGCACTTATTACAAAGCAAACTTCTCCATTTCTTTGTGAAAGACATTTTATAATGATAAACGACAGATAGTTCAGTTTGCATGACAGTGGGTGAGTGATTGTCGTCCTGAGAGCAAGGAGGCATGTTTTGTGAAAAATGTAAGTCCACTGAGCTGAGACTGTTGGCGGAAGATTTCACTGGGGAGGGTTCTCAGTTTCCTTGTGGAAGTTCCAGAGCCTCATGCATGCGTTCCTTTTTGTTCCAAAGTTTTGCACAAGACTTTTCTCGAAATAGTTAGAGAGGTTAGGGGCATTTGGAGCCCATCTTAATTTAGTTTTGTGAGTCAGAAAGTGCAAGACATGAGTCAATTTGAAGAGGGCTGGCAATTTCCGAAACTAAATTGAGACTGATCGGAGACACAAAAGAGAATCTGACATCCCAGGCGCTTTGCAAGCTCGAAAAAGCAAAATGAAAATAAACAAACAAATTGAGACTTAATTGAGACACTTGGGGACTAAACTGCAACAAAATAATTTGCACACTGTGCAGTATGTAGGTAAACTACCAACACATTTGGCTCAAATTTTGCAACTAAGTACCAGTTCAGTTGACTGTTTATCTTGCAATTTTACGCCGTCAACTAGTAACTAGCAATAACAGCCCAATTAAGAAACAGACCTAAAGCACAACTTATTCATCAGTAGGTCATTAATTTTTATTGAAACAGCTTACATAACAAATATATCCCTGCAAAACTGCTCCTTATTATGAATATTTTGGAGTTAAGTTGTAATTTTAAAGAGGATCAGCATCTCTTTCTTGGGGAAAAAGCAACTTTTCCCCGTCACCTTTGTGTCTCTGTTCTTTATATTTTAGCTAATATCTCACTGTCATGTTCTGAAAACCTGCAGCAGTAGTTGCTGCATGAAGGAATAAATGATTCCCTGAAGAAAACACCTACCACAAACAACCCTGCTGCATCAGGATTCTCAGTTTGGAAGAAAACTTTACAACACTTTCTGCCTGACGACTGCTGCCTATCAGTGTTTTAATCGGTTTAAAGGGGAACACACACCACACAAGCGCACTAATGGGTGAAAGTTTGTGGTTTGTGGAGGCAGAAATCGCAGCCCGCCTGCTGTGAAGCTGTCATATCCTGTAACCCTGACTAAGTGCTTACTCCACACTGTTCATGCTTTCTGAAGCATGCACCATCTAGGGACAGAGACCAAACCACGCTGTGAAGAAGGAAAATGTGAAGTTTTGTGTTTACTTCTGCATACTAACATAGCATCCAAGAGATACACTACACCCTAGTGTATTATCATCCACAGTCCACCTACAGCACAAACCCGCGCAGAGTCAGTGGATCTAATCCGAACCCCTGCTGTTAAATCTGACAAGGACTGAGCGTGACCGTGTGAGCGACAGAGATGGAGAGATGGAGTGTGAAGGTGGGCTGGTAGGAACAAAAGAGCTGCTGATGGGAGAATCCTACAATAAGTCAATTTTCAGTCCACTATTTGGACAGAAATGTCTAAGATCAATCATGAAAGCAGCTCTCACCTGTTGTCTCTCTCAGAAGCTCCTCCCTCGATGACTGTCTTGACAAAGATGCCCAGTTTCTCCAAGCCTGCGTCGGCACCAACGCCCATTCCGATGATACTGATCCCCAGGCCATCTTCATCTGGGAACACGGAGAACACAGATAAACTGCCAATGCCTACATTTGTAGAAGTGCACTCATGAGCCAACTTAAACAACTTTAACTTTACATTACTACAAACCACTACTTAGATCAATGCTAATATCATTAGCTTCAGGTATACCCATTGGATTTTTTTTAAGTTGTCCTAGCACCTACTGGTGCAGCATTTTACATTTTTATGTAATTCACCAGTTCTGTGGTTCCTCAGTCATTAATGAGGCACAAGCATTTTTTAGTTTGCAAATAGTATGTGACAACTAAAGTGTCATGAAGAAAATTGGGCTAAAGTTGGTCTAAAAGTCTGTTTTACAGACGTCCAAACTTATGCACAGACAGAACCACAGCGTTTTTTCATGACTGGCAAGCTAATTCTGTACGTCCTCCTATGTTAGACTAAAACTCAGACTCTTTGGCTTATTAGTTCTTTTTGGATCAGCGTTTAAATTGGGCAAAAACAGACAAACTTTCAGTTGCAGACTCACTGCTTCTTAGTGTTTGTGACTAAGTGAACTGTGAGCTGTGTGGCCACTTTTCACATGGCTGTTTTTTTTTTTTTTTCAAATCACAGCCTTTTTCTGTCTGCATGGCTTGCAAAGCTCTATACTAAACCAGTGTTTTTCAAAGTGGGGGCCGCCAGAGGGCGCTAGGGAGGCCCCAGAAAGCTGGAAAGAAGAAGAATAAATAAATAAATAAAAAAGAGTAATAATAATAATAATTTAACACTAGGGCAATCTGTATATGTCATTTCCAGATAAACCACTTGAGAGAAGTTAGATTTCTTTTGTTTTGTTCTTCTGGTCAACAGTTTGTTGAAAAGTTGTTTTTTTTTACAGTGGGAATATAATTCAGTGTTTAAAACACGTTAGTTAATAACATTTTTATGCTCAGCAGCTGTAATATTTAATTGAATATAGTGAATAAAAGTTAAAACATTCTATAAGTTGATGTTTCTTTACGCACTTTGTAGCATTGTTTGTTGGTTTGCGAGGGGGACCTCGGTCAGAAGCTAATGCTGTTTGGAGGCCATGTAATCACTAGTAATAGTAATCACTCTGGCCTGCCTTATACCCACCTTGGCACACACCCCCATATTTATTAATGGTTTAATCTACTGGAGTCCCCTTTGAAATAAAGATATGCAGCTTCAGACTTGGTGCCTTTTCTTTATCTGGCATGGTTTATAGACCTGTAAGTTCAGTTCGGTAGTCTGGTGTTTCCTGTCAAAAAAGACATGTTCAAAAATATTCTGTGCAAGTCACGCAAGGAAAACGAGAACTCAGTTAAGGTTTTTAAACATTTGAAAAGTCCCTCGTATATGAAGTTTGGCAACTACCAACGGTTGATTCCCAGTGAGATTCAACTGAGTCTGGGCTATGAGCGATTCCTGAATCAAACTGTGCCTAATTAATCAGCTTGAATTCAACCAAACACTTTATGATGACAAAATGAATTGCTGAGTTGTGTATGAATAAATATTGATAAGGGGACTGATTTAAACATAATTCCTTAAGTAGAACAAGAAAAAAAAACATTTCAAAACAAGTTTTTCTTCACAAGCAAAGGGAATACACTGGATGAGAGCTTCCACCCTGCATTAATTATTCACAGGCTGTTCACGTTACATAACAGTGAGTGGAAGGAGGAATTCAGCAACGTGAAGTCACATTTTAGCTTCTTGGCAGGTATGATTTGTAACTTGGGAAGTATCTCAACAGACTTGTGGAGAAGCAGCTGAGGGCCGATGATTCATGCTGCATAAAGGCCTGCATGGAGGGGAATTAAGACCAAGTGCTCTCTTCAGTACTTTCTAGTGCAGTCTAAGGAGATTTGTAGTGAATGACTCCTCATTGAAAAGGAGGAAGAAAACAACCTGAATACCAGAAGGACAGCACATACATGTTTAATAATGAAAGACATCCGATCACGACTCGTGTGTGGGAGATTCTGCCACCAGGGCAGAATGAGTAACTGTCAGTGCAGATTCCTCATTAGGACATTCGTTCCCACCTTTCTCCAATTCCACAGGGAAGAGCTCCAGTTTCTCCACCCTCTTCTCCAGCTCGTACTCAGCCGAGGAGGCCACAGGATCCACTTCCTCATTACGCCGGTCGTAGTCCTCATTGGAGTAGGTGTTGAAAACCTAAAAAAAAAAAAAAAAAAACCGCAGACAGCGGTGAACATTTTTTTATGTGTCAGCTCATGCTATAATTTAAGATTATCAGCTATGATTTATGTTATAAAGGTAAATACTGAGTGGCCTAAACAGGAATTTGATTTCAAAACCATCATGCACCATCTTATGCTTACGGTGTGTTTTGTGAATGACTCTCAGCTACTTCCACATCAACTTTTAGCCCAATGAATGTAAAAACGACAGACTTACAGCTTAAACTGGGTTGACTTCTAGAGCTGATCGTTTTATAGATTTATAGAGTGATTATGTCCTGAAGGAGTCACTCATATCTGTCCATTGGTTAATTAAATATTTTGCTAATAAACTAAAACTTAACCTGCTGCCCCCATGTCAAGACTCCAGAACAAAAGAAATATATTGGATGGATGGATGGATGGATGGATGGATGAACAGAGTTGACTATTAATATTTCAAACTAAGATTTTGTACAACCCCATTAGCACCCAAAACACAGGTACGTTAAAGGAAGTCTCAGCTACTACCTCAAAAAATTAAGGTCAATTTGTGTAAAACTGACAGAACTATAAGCACATTTTGCTGTTATGATCAGCTGGCTGTGGCAGCCATCTTGAATTGAGCTGACTCCTAAACTTAATCTGTTGTACATGACTTGAAGTAACTACATTTAGCAAGTTGCATTAACATTTGCCCAGTGGTTCATGACATGATTTGATAACAGAAAAATGACCATATGGGAAAAAAATAA